CACTGGTTAAATTGTTTCAGATTTTATCTTATGCAATTGAGATTTATTTTTCATGGGTTTGCAACCTTATTTAGCCATGATTCTGATGATTTAAATTGCCTGCAGGTTTACAACATTATTTAGCCATGATTCTGATTCAATGCCACGTGTTTGGACTGGGAAGGAAGATATTAGATCAATCACCAAAACTGCCCGTTCTTCAGTATGGCATGATTTATATTATATCATCTATTAGACCTAGTTTGAATTTTCCCTGAAGCTTTGTTAACTATATTGCTATTCTTTCAGTCCTTAAAATTGCTCTCTGTTATGGCTGCAATCCGTTTGGATGATGGTGATGCTGATAATATTGAGAATACTTTATCCCTTGCCTTGGTGGATTCCACAAATGTTGCTGCTAAAGATAGGAGTATCACAACAGCTGATCCACTGGCTTCAAGCACTTGGCAAGAGGTGCCTTTTCTTTTGTTTATTTCTTGCTTGTAAATTTTTAATTTGCAAGTATTGTTACAATAGGTGTTTCAACATTTAAAAGCTGTTACTTTCCGGTTTTCTAGCTTCGAAGCTATAGGTTTTGTCCACAAGGCCATGCTGACCTGTGTTTTTCTGGGAATTGTAGATACACACACACACACACACACAATTGAGTTTGTTTATTTGATAGGGAAGACTGTGTCTGTATACTCCATTCTGAACATGGTTTGGAAGTTGGGTTATATATAAGCTAGGCCGTAAACTCTGTATCGCTCCCTCCCTCTCTTGCCGAACTAGGAGTTTTTTCATGCGGGGTCAACCTTTGCATCTACTCTGGTGTACCATTTGCGGTGCCAATGTCAAAATTTAACCTTTTTCTTGATTCTCCACCAGGGTGCTATTTATTATGCCAAATGTGGTGCAGTAAATTGCTTACCATAATTTGGCATTGGTGGCATCTTCAATATTAAAATGTCAAACATGTAGGAACGTCCCACCATATGAAACAATCATAGCATGGGTGGGACAATAAAAGATAAAGATTAAGTAATGACATTTGGTGTAGTTGGAGCTCATATTCCAAAATGTCATATATAACTTTTATTTTTTGGGGGGCTTATCAAAATATAGCATTGGAACTCTTATAGAATTAATGGCCCAGGGTCAGCTGACAGCCTTAGTTGGCTCTGCCAATGCATTCTCTCATGTGCTAGTGTGGTACTACCGGTAGCCCTTAGTTTGCATGTAAGCACCAAGTAGCTTTTGTGAATGTTTTTTTTCAACTTATGTGCAGGTTTCCTCCTCTAAAACATTGATCACACCCGTCCAATGCAAATCTTTGTGGAGGCAATTCAAGGCAGAGACTGAGTACAGTGTTTCTCAGGCTATTTCTGCACAGGTATGATAATTCACCTGTTAATGCGTGAACATATATATATATTTCCTTTTTTCTGTATACTATGATATTTAGAAAATAAATGGAAACCATAAACTGTAATATTTTTTTCTTTCCTATAATGTGTTATTTATGGTTAAAATCTCTTTCTGGTAGGGTTTAGATTTATAGCACCATTATGACTATATTGGTCCAAGCCTTGCTAGATTTTGTTTATTTTGGATTACAAGGGTCAACATTTTTTCTTATTGCTTATAGAAAATGGTTCTAAGGGGTTAAAGAGGTGGAAAGACACATCAATAAAGATGGCCTCTTAACTCATGCTTTGTAATTGAGTTGGTGCATGCGATGTTGCTTTTGCCCTGCATAAATTATTACTGTTAATTGGCATAGATTCAAAGTTTTAGTATATCATGGTTGAGATGAATACATTGTTGCACATGTATGAATATCCTTATAAATTGCTCTTCAGTGGTTAACTTTTCTCAAAATTTTGATAGTTAAATCCATTGCACATGTTGTTCTACTTTTCAGGAAGCTAACAAGCGTAATAACAACTGGTTACCACCTCCTTGGGCAATTGTTGCCTTGATTGTCCTGGGATTCAATGAATTTATGACACTTTTAAGGTACATACTTTCCCTATACTGAGGATAGATGACGATGATGGTGTTCTACCATTAAATTTTATGCATTACCACTATTCTCACACATTCTCATACCTTCATGGCAGAAATCCTTTGTATCTGGGTGTCATCTTTGTTGGCTTTTTACTCATTAAAGCCCTATGGGTGCAGCTAGATGTCGCGGGTGAATTCCGCAATGGTGCTGTGAGTATCAAATTTTGTTTTAATTGTTGATTGCTTTCCTTCCCTCGCCTCTTCCCAATCTATTTGGTTTCATGAAAATTGTTCTTAAAACTGACCGCACTTACAAATGAAAGTGGAATTGCTTAATTGAAAGGAAATTATAGTTTGAGTATGAGCATGTGAGTTTCTTTTGAAAACTGCGGATGCCAGTTTTGATAAATAACTGAAGTTTGGGAACGAAAATCAGTTATGGCAAAGAGCAGTTTCCTAGCAAACATATTAGTATATTATATCATCTGTCAGACTACTGTGCAGACTTGTTTTAGGTGAAAATTTTCCATTATCATGCAAATTTAGTTCCTTGAAAGCTCTTCTTTTCAGAAAATAATGTTTATTGTTCTTCTCTACCACTTATTCAGCAAACAAATATGGAATCTAAGTAAGATTAGCTGCTGGCCCTTATTTTAGTAAATTATTTGAGAAAGAACTTTGGTCATAAAATACGAATAACCACAATATGTTATTGTAAAAAGGTTTTTAAGAAGTGGGCTTATAACTGTGTGCTACTATGTCTACAGCTTCCCGGGCTTATTTCTTTGTCCAGCAAACTTGTTCCAACTATCATGAACATGATTAAAAGACTAGCCGACGAAGGGGCAAATGCTGCAGCTAATGATCCTCATCGGAACCCTCCACTAGCATCAAAAAACTTTACGAATGAAGGTAATGCTAGCAGTGAAATGTCATCCAGTGCCTCATCTGGACTGACAGAATCTGACTACTCCAGCCCCTCAAAACAAGACTAGTTTAAAATAAGCTCTCTTGATCAAAGACCATTTTTTATGTTTGAAGATTCTCTGGTGTACTGCGCACTTATTGTAATGGTGTTACTCGCATATCATCTTCGTATATTAGGTCTGTGAGCTTGTACGTCACTGTTGCAAGCACGTAATGGTAATATTTTTGTAGGCATCATTTTTGAGCAAGTGCCAACATACAAGGGGCTGTTTGTTGTTGTGAGGAAGCCCCCATTGAGTAGTAATTATTTTTTGGGTCTAGGTGTTTTTTCGTTTGTTGGACAAGCTACAAAAGGATCCATTCAGTGCTCGATATTGATATTGAAGTTAGTTGATTATGATGATGATTTGCATCAGTTTTGTATTGCTACAATTGTAACCTTGTTTGGTTGTATTTTACTGAAAATTTTCAGAGACCAATTCTTATTTGATATGGTTTCCGCGGGGACATATTCATTTCCCAAATAGACGGAGTGGGCCGATCATTGTCTTTATTCATCAGCTGCCTTGAATATCAACAAGTGTTAACGAAGCTATGTTAAAAATTGATTGAAGGCGAAACTTTATTTTTCAGATCTTTTATTTTTTATTTTTTATTTTCCACCTGGAAAGAATCCAAGTTTGAACAATGACAACTCTCTTTTCTGGGAGTTCTGCATGGCAACACAGACTGTTAATTAAGTGTTTATACTTCCACTAGGTCGGTTCTATGCCCAATATTCTATACCTTTATCGTATTTGTCTTGCGTATGCAAGGATGCATGGGACTTATATTAGGTAAGATAAAAAAACTTTGGGTAATAAAAATTAAAATTCGATAAACTTTAAGGTAGTAAAGTGAAATCCAAATTCTATATTAGAGCCAAGAGCGGAACCAGAATATTTTCGATGGGTGAGTTAGCTAAATTTTTAGCTTAAACTCTAATGATCTATATATATATATATATATATATATATATTATAAACTTACTGTTTCTATAATTTTGAAAGTGTACAAAAAATACATATTAAATACCAAAAAAAAAAAACATATTATCAAAATGAATATATGTTCAACAACATAATTGAAAGTGTACCTATTGAAATTGTGCCATGCAATCCTTGAGAGAATTGAAATATTTTGTTATTGCATCTAATTGATATTATCACACACTTTTTTTTTTTCAATATAGACAATGGTAGAATAATACTTTTTTAATGTGTTCTAGTTTATAGTGGTTTTTTATTTTGTTTCTTAAAAACCTGCATTAAACAACAGCTAGAATTCATGGCTTGTTCCGCTATATGAACTTTGTGCCGTAAATTCTGTGGTATTTGAGACCCTGGGATCAAACTCTCTGTTGTCCTTTTGTTAATCTCTACCCCTTATCGCTATAGCAGTTAGGTCACCTTTCAGAAAGAAAAAAAAATTGAAATGGGGCCCCCGCCAAAAAAAATTCTAAGGTATTATTTCAAATTGCAGGTGGGGCCATATGTACAGAGTCTTCATTGTTCTTCAGAAATCTATATATTGCAGCAGATTTTTGGAGGCAGATCCACATATAGATTTTTGGAGTGAGAGTGCAGAGAGTGCAAATTTTACAAAGTTGTCCCTATCCCCTCTATGTGCATGAGAGTTTGTCTCCTCTCATTTCCGCATGCTGTGGTTGCTTTTTGTTTTTTTTAATCTAATAAACAGATGCCCGGTCTCCTTCCCTTGAAAGTCTTTTTCTCTTCTACTTCTCTCTCTTATGCTGCTTTCCTCCATCATTTGTTTATTGTTTCTCTTGCTTTCCTCTCATTTCCGCAGAAAATTAGTACTATTTCCGCAGAAAATTAGTACTATTTCAAATTCCCATGTTATTTTAAAAATTATTCAAAAAATACTCAAAAAATAAAATAAAAATAATTCCTTTCAGCCATGTTACTTTAAATATTCCTTTCAGCCATGTCCGTCGTCTTTCCATATCTGTTATTTCATTAGCAGGTGCAAGTGCAAGCAAGCTCTCGCCAAGAAGCTCTTCCGCTTCACATTTTTGAATCGCCATGGATGCTGCGGCCAGTACTCCAAACAAGAGCAACTCTGTATTAGGAAATGGTGGGTCTTTATATACACTACTGTTATTAATTAGATCATGATCATATTATTTTTACTTCGTTTGATCATTCGATCCTCATCCATGGCGATGCACGTTACATGTATATAATATAAACACACACATATATATATATATTATAAACATGTATATAACATAAATAAAATATAAAATATAAAAAATATAAAAAATATAAAAAATATATATATTATCTGGCAACTTCGCCGGACCAGAGCTTACTCCGGCGACCTCGCCGGTGGCGACGCCGGTAATGGGTCGCCATTAACTAGTTGGTTTTGTTGTTAGGTCTCACACTTCAGCCGTCTCTCACAGACAGTAGGGTGAGGCTTACGTGTGGACACGGCCACGAGATGATCAAGTTTTCTTTTAATTTTTCACTCCAGAATTTAAAAATATGACGTGGGACGATAATAAATACAAGTAATTAATAATAATAATTAAGGGGACAATTTGGTATTTAATAATAATCTAGAGATATTGCTTTTGTTTGATTATTCCTATCTACCGTATTTCAGCATTTTCTTCTCCGGTGAGCGGTGATGGCTGCTGCCCTACTCTTCTTGTTGGTGGTGATAGAGAGTTTGATGTCACTGGATTTGAAAAGTTTACAAAATTCACAGAGTTTGCTAAAGTTGGACCTTCTTATCTTGTTGTCGCCATTATCGGCCCACAAAGTAGTGGTATGATTCTTACTTACCTTTTAATCTTCATTTCTGACTTGGTTGAGGATTCACAAAAATATCACTCTGGTGAATAAGATATGTTTTTGGTCATTCTCTGTTTTCTCATCTGATATTGATATATGATTGATACATGACAATGTCTTTTTAATACTAATCATCTGTCCAGGAAAGAGCACACTACTAAACCATTTATTTCACACCAACTTTAAAGAGATGGACGCTTTTAGAGGAAGGCAAGTACTGTGCACAATGATCAAAATTAAACTTTGTGTTGTGTTTTCTTTTTGTGACCATGAATATGATGGGATATGCTTTTATTCCAGGTCTCAAACAACAAAAGGTATTTGGGTGGCAAAATGTCCCACCATTCACCCTTTTACTCTTGTTATGGACATGGAGGGTACAGATGGGAAAGAACGAGGAGAGGTGCTTTTAGTTTTCATCATCAAATTTCTATTTATGGCCATGCTCGAATTTATTGTCATTACCAATTCTCTGGCCAACACACGAATCCATTGTTGGATGATCACTTTTCATTTCTTTGACTACAGCTCTTACTTGTTGCTTACAGATGACAGACATTTTCCTCTTACTTAATCAAGAACAGAAATGAGAAATGAGAATGACCGATTTAAGGTCCTAGTATCAGGATTGCTTGTCATGGTTGCAATCTACTTAATTGGAATTTGGTTATTTATTTACAGGATACAGCATTCGAGAAGCAGACTACTCTTTTTGCCCTTGCTGTTGCAGATGTAGTGCTCATTAACATGTGGGGTTTTTCTTTTACCCTTTCTTTATTGACTGTTTGGATTTGTAATATTTTCCCCTCTCTCTGTGAGTAATCTTCTTTAGCAATTTTTGTGTAGATGGTGCCATGACATTGGCCGTGAGCACGCTTCAAATAAGCCTCTCCTACACACTGTGTTCCAGGTATTTTCTTCCTCCCTATAAATTTCAGAGGCTTGATTTTTGAACTTTTATGCTTGAATTTGTTCACAGGTGATGATGCGATTGTTTGGTCCCCGTAAGACAACCCTGATCTTTGTCATCCGTGATAAGACAAAGGTTCCTTCTCTTTTAGTATTTCTCTGTGATTTGAGATGGAGCCAATTTGCATTTGTCTTTATTATTCATTTTGGTAGTCTGTTGCATCGTTTCCTTCCTTGGTATAAGGCCATTCCACTCTAGGCTGAGTTTTTGATAGTGTAGTTATGCTTTTTTGTTTGTAGACGCCACTGGAGAATTTAGAAAGCGAACTTCGGAACGACATTCAGAAGGTTAACCAATTTGGTGCTTTATTTGTTGTTGCCTTGCTTTTAGTGTTGTTGTTTGTTAACCCCGTCTCTCCTTTACTGCAGATATGGGAGTGTGCTCCTAAGCCTGAAGCCCACAAGGAAACTCCACTGAGTGAATTTTTCAATGTAAGATGTCATGCTTATATGACAGATAAGATTTCATGTTTATTTGATGTTACTGTGGTGAAAACTATCCATCATGTGTATTGATTGACAATGTGTTATATTTATGACTAAAAATGGCTAGGTTGAGGTTGTTGCGCTTTCAAATTATGAAGACAAAGAAGACACATTTAAAGAGGAGGTATGTATATGTGCTATGAGGGCACCATGCAGATTTTCTTTCTTTTCTTTGGGCCTTGGACACCATGTTATATTAATAACTAGGCAGGTGTTGCAGGGTTTCTCAAGTGTTGCTGCATATTTTATTTCATTAACACTTCGGCGACTACCTTAAAAAATGTTTCTGTTCTCTGTCATTTGCCCCTTGCTATCTCCTCTCTCATATTTTGTTGCATTCCAGTTTCTGCCTCAAGAAACCAATTGTCCCATTTCTATTTTTTATACTAAAATGCCTCCTAGTATTCAAATTTATGGATCTTGTGCAGGTTTGCCCTTTTTTTTGTCAAATTTATGTAACTTATGTTTGTGAATGAAAGGTTGGTTGCATGAGGCAGAAATTCTTCCATCATAATAAACTTGCTGGAGATCGACAAGCGGTAGTTCCTGCTTCAGGATTTTCTTTGAGTTTACAGGAAATTTGGGAAAAAATAAAAAAACATAGAGATCTTGATATTCCTTCCATCAAGGTAAAACTGTGAATACAATTGTTTTTTGGTCGAAAACTGTGAATATCGTATATGTATGTAAATTTGAACAAGTCATCCATAACTCTTCCATTGCAGGTCATGGTGGCTACTGTACGTTGTGAAGAGATTGCCAACGAGAAGTATTCTGCTTTTGCAGCAAATGAGGTACTTGTTTTTCATATATTGCCATATTTTCCATCTTCTTCAATTCTAGTTGGATGGCCTTGAATTGCTTTGGAATTATCACAGGAGTGGATTCAGTTGAAAGTGATCTCAGTTCATACTGGCTTCGGAAAAAAGCTGAGTTCAATGATTGATACTTGTATATCGGAGTATGTATCTTTCACTTATATTTCTCAGCTTGTTGTAGTCTACAGGATAAGATTATATTTCTCACCTTATGCCTTATGTGGTTGAATAGTTCTTTATATTTAGTTTAATTTGTTTTTACAATTCTAGGTATGATGAAGAGGCTACATATTATGATGACTCTGTCAAATCCGTGAAGCGCAAGCAGCTTGAAGAAAAATTGCTGCAAGTAATGAATCTCTATTGGAGGATTTAGCTTTATGCACATGCACTCTACATATGAAGGGGGAAATACAATATAACGAACTAAAGAATAACATAATTATGGAGATGTGAAGCCTGAAGGCTACACAGAGCTCCTACACAAACTTACTTGAGACAAACTTTAATAAGACTGATACTTCAAATACTCTACTACAGCACTTACTCTTGATACACTTGATACACACTAACATAGAGTGGATAAAATGCATATTTATAGGCCATAATATTAACTCAACATTAAACATAATCACAACCATTATACCCACTAAATCTCACATTTTCTTCAACTCATAAACTAGACACAATAGCTAAACCTTTATTCTAACTTTTTATCTCCTAAACTTCCGACTTTTGAAATTACACCAACAATCTCTCCCGTAATTTCAAAGTTTATTAACACAAATGCTTTCCCCCTTACTTGTCTTCCATGTCATTTATGTTCACGAAACTTTGAGGTTGGCCAATACCATTTTCTTATGGATTTTCATCTTGTGTTAGCATTCCAGTTTCTAGCTCTAGATCCATCATTTGATCTTGTAGCCTCTCAATATCTTCATGTAGCTTTCCACATTTGATCTTGAAATTCATCAACGCATTAAAGTTGACATCGAGCACTTTAATGATGTGATGTTCAATCAAATAATTCAGACAAAAATATGTCGCCAAGTGTTCTGCCTCCTTCTTTGTGTTTTTCCATTTGCTTGAAAAATTCGGATGTGCACCTCCATCAAAACTAATATGACACATGAATTGCATTACATGAGCCGGTCCTTTGGTTACAAAATTGAAATGTGGTTCAACATTAAGATTGTGTGCAACTTCAATAAAAAAATGGGCTTGAATGACACAACGACTAATATACTCATCTTTTTCTTCTTCTAGCTGCAATAGAGAACACAATTAATAACCAAACACTTTCCTTCATGAATCAAAAAACACTACATTTTCTTTCCTTTTTTCTTATGGTTGCACATTTGCCCCAACCTTCACAAGAACAATTGTTTTTGTTATTTTTTTTTCTTTCTTCGGCATCCATGTGCCCTTCTCTCTTCCTTCGGCATCCTTGTGCCTTTCTTTCTTTATTCGGCATCCATGTGCCCTTTTTTCATTGGTTGTATGCCTTTCACTTACAGCCAACACACAATTTTTTTTTTCTACACATCTCAAACCCAAGATAAAACATTTTCATCACGCCAACACAATTTAAATATAGAACCACAACCAACGCTTCATGCTACATGCCAAAAAATCATTTAAAAATTGGACCATGCTCCAAACGCCACATATGTGATACAGGTCCTCATGATCGTATCAGCTCTGTTACCACTTATTGGAGGATTTAGCTTTATGCACATGCACTCTAAATATGAAGGGGTAAATACAATATAACGAACTAAAGAATAACATAATTATGAAGATGTGAAGCCCGAAGGCTACATAGAGCTCCTACACAAACTTACTTGAGACAAACTTTAATAAGATTGATACTTCAAATACTCTACTACAACACACACTCTTGATACACTTGATACACACTAACATAGAGGGGATAAAATGCCTATTTATAGGCCATAATATTAACTCAACATTAAACATAATCATAACCATTATACCCACTAAACCTCACATTAACTTCAACTCATAAAATAGACAAAATAGCTAAACCCTTTAGATTCTAACTTTTTATTTCATAAACATATGACCTTTGAAATTACACCAACAATCTCGACATCATTCTTGTCGAACCATATATTACACATTGTTTTCCTTCCCCTCCTCTTTCCTCGTGCTATAGATGGCTGAAATATAGTAATGCAATAGAGACTTAACGGTTTTGGACTTACAGAAAATTGTGCCTCACAGACCAAATTGTGTTTGTTATTCCTTTGATTGTGGTTGATACAATCTGTCATGACTCATCCTCTAATCTACCACGCATGTCGATTAGGGATGTACACATTTTACAGTGAGACGGCTTTTCAAGGCCTTATGAGTGCATCACAGTAGTTGAACTGATTTGACATAAATTATCCTATCTTTTTTTCAAAAGAAAAAGCTTCCAATTTTAATTATCAAGTCGATTTACCTATCTTTCTTCTATTATTGATTGGTTTCACTGTCTTATTAGCTTGTTCAACCTGCATTCCAAGATCTGCTGGAACTTAAAAGATCTGATACTTTGGATAAGTTCAAGGAAGCATTTGATAAGGCCTTGGACGGGGTCAAGGAATTTTCTGTGACTGCTCGTAATTTCACCGAGTCTTTTATGGCTCAATTTGACAAAGGGTGTGCAGGTATGTTTTGAGAATGGCATCCCTTTAGCCAAACTCAAGGATAAAATGCAAAAACTGAAATACATAATAAAAGAAACCCTTCAAAACCATGAAGCCGAGATAGATAAGTCACAAGACAAATTGAAATTTATCCTTGTACACTCAAACACATCTTACATACAAGCTGACTTCCTGCCAATTGGTCAATTATGGATCAAGAGATAATAGTGTAATACTTAATAAGTTATAAAACCAAATACACTAACCTTGTTCAGCCAGAGAAAGATTCCTCATCTTTGGATAGAAGAAAAATTCCTACTAGTCTGTATGCTCCATCTCCCATGTTGTGATACTACAGGCAATTGCATGATGAATTATTCACATCTTTGGACATAAAGTTATTCATCATGTATTTGCTTGTAGCACAAGTTTGTGCTAAAATATGAATATGGTTTGAATGTATTAGGGTTCATTTTATTCTTCTCCATAAGGAGGTATATATAAGAGTTTACATGTGGGCTTTACAAGGAATTAGATACAGTAAAGAATTAGGAAAGTATCTCCTAATTGTACAATGATTTATCAATTATAAAAAATAGGAAAATAAATCCCTTAATTAATCAAGGAAATAAATCTCCTTGATTAATTAGGAGACTCACGTCAACACTCCTCCTCAAGTTGGTGCATATACGTCACCAATGCCCAACTTGGTAAGTGAGTCATGAAATACTCTTCCACAAACAACTTTGGTTAAGATATCTGCCAATTGATCTTCTGATCTTACGAATGGTAAGCGAATGATCTTCTTCTCAATTTTTTCTTTGATAAAATGTCTATCCACCTCAACATGTTTAGTTCGATCATGTTGAACTGGATTATGGGCAATATCGATGGCTGACTTGTTATCACAATGTAACTCCATTGGCTTTCCTGGCTTGAAACCCAATTATATCAATAGTCTTCTAATCCATAGTAATTGACAAACTCCGTGAGCCATTCCTCGATACTCTGCTTCAGCACTAGACCGAGAAACCATCTAACTCCCCATGGTGTGGTAATTTTAGTAGGGCCCCAAACATTAGAATGAACAAGGGAAAAGGGAACCAAACTTTTATTTGAACGTAAGGGAAAAGGAACACGATGGCTTTTGGCTAGTTCACAAATGTCAAACTTAAAATTGGAAATATCTAAATCAAAAAATAAGGAAGGAAATAGCTTATGTAAATATGCAAATGAAGCATGTCCAAGACTGCGATGCCATAACCATACTTATGAAGTTTTCTTCTCAACATTCGCACCCCACATTGTGTAAGCTTGAATTAGGCTGGCTTCACTGTCAGATGCCAAGTCCAGATAGTAGAGTTTGCCTGTCCTAGTACCACAACCAATCGTCTTGCTGCTGAGAATGTCCTGAAAAACACAATGAGTAGGCCAAAAGATTACAGTGCAATTCAAAGCCGTAGTAATTTGGGCAACAGACAAGAGATTATGGTGTAAGGATGGAACAATAAACACAGAATCCAAAGTGAGGGAGTCAGAGAGAGAGAGAGAGAGAGAGAGGGAACCCTCCCCAATTACTGGAGATGGGGTACCATTGGCATTAGACACCATCGATTGAGAGGCCGGTGTATGAGAGGTAATTTATCCAGGATCAAAGGTCATGTGATCAGTGGCTCCGGTGTCAATGACCCATGAGTGTTTCTTTGAAGAACTATGCAAAGCATAACCTTGGGTTCCTGTTATGGCTACAGAGGCAGAGGCGGGAGCCAGTGCTGTCGGAACAGCAGGACTTACAGGATCTGAGGTAGATGATGTATTGAGTGATTTGCTCATATTCTTGCGGGGAGCTTTGGAGTGGTCCCACTAATCCGGGTACCCAATCAATTCGTAACAGCCAGCACGGGTATGTTTGCTTCCACCACAGTGAGTGCATTTGTGCTTCGGACGAGAGCTTGTGACTTGAGTATGAGAAGCACCGTTGGAAAAGGATGGAGGGCCCCGTGGACGTCTAGTGGCCAGGATCGCATTGTCTGGAGTACTGGTCATGGTCAGTCGTTGTTGAGCTTTACGACGGACATAGGCAAAGGTTTGGTCAAGGTCTAATTTGGGATCTTTGTGCATAATTTCCCCCCGAACTTGATCAAACTGAGGGTCGAGGCTGGAAAGAAAAAGGTGAACACGAAGACGATCCAATTCGGTTTGATGTTTAGTCACATCGGTGTCGCAATGCATGCGATTCAGAGTGCGGTGATCAATCTCTTGGAAGATGGTCTGCAGTTGGCTGTAGTATTTATGGACAAGTGCACCATGCTGTTTAATGGAGAACGCCCATTTGTTGAGATCAAAAAGGTAAGTTTCATCCCCACCATCAAAGTAGGTTTTCTTCACGGCATCCCAGATTTATTTGGCGCTACTTAAACGGATGAAACGACTCATCAAGTCGGGTGACATGGAGTTGATGAGCCACCTCTTGACCTAAAAGTTCTCTGTACACTATTTGGTGTAGGTGGAGGAGAGCTTAGAAGGTTGCGGGGCGTCGTTGGTGAGGTACCCTAATTTTTCGTGGGCAGCAATACGCATCTCCATGACTTGAGACCATAAGGCATAATTTGTCTCTGTCAAGATGACGTAGGTAGGAAACGGAGTGTTGTCACTATGAATAGTAACAATTTGGGAGGATGGTGGATTAGAGGATGAGGAAGTGGAGTCGGTCGGTTTTGAAGCGGAGACAATATCCATGGCAGCGGAAGGATGTATGAATAAGAGAAAAGTATGTGTTTAGAAATTTGGTATGTGTTTAGAAATATGAAGGTATGAGGGATGTGTATAGAGATCTGAATCTAGGAAAGGTGAAGATGAGGAATATGATTTAGGGTTTGGGTGTGAAGAAATTTGATATGATGATTTAGGGTTTGTGTTTGAAGAAATTTAATATTAGGATTTAGGGTTTGTGTTTGAAGAAATTTGATATGAGAATTTAGAGACAATCGAGAATCGATTGCACTGATACCATGCTAAAATAAGAATATGGTTTGAATGTATTAGGGTTCACTTTATTCTTCTCCATAAAGAGGTATATATAGGAGTTTACATGTGAGCTTTACAAGGAATTACATACAGTAAAAAATTAGGAAAGTATCTCCTAATTGTACAATGATTTATCAATTATAAAAAATAGGAAAGTAAATCCCTTAATTAATCAAGGAAATAAATCTCATTGATTAATTAGGAGACTCACGTCAACAGTTTGATCATGAATCTTTGAGTGCATAAATCTTGCAATGTATTGAGTTGCTTTGGCTCACTTAATAATACACTGCCAGATGTTTGCAAACAACGATCATGGATCTTTCTTGCCACGACAAAATAATAGCTTCATATTGTTGCCATGCCAAAATTTCCTTGCAAACATTATAAAGCTTTCAGTTTTACAAGCTTTTAACTAGGGAGACTTTGGAAAAAGCAAAAGGAGAGAGAAATTTTTTAAAAAAAGCCAAAATGGACAAAATTGCCCTTATTTATTTTTGGATTTCCTAACGAATCCTTTATATTTGCATATCTTTGATTTGAAAGTTGAGAGGTTTTTTTGTCTTTTTTGAAAAAGCTTTGGCTTTTTCCAAAAGTGAAAGTTTTTTTTATGACTATTGCTGCAACGAAAACCTAGTTAGGTAGGAGATAATATAACTTAAGCTCTGATACAACATGTAACACTTAATAAGTTATAAAACCAAACACACTAACCTTGTTCAGCCACAGAGTCGAATAGAGTGCACGAGAGAGATAGAGAGATCTTCTCCTAGAAGCCGATGCCTTATGCCCTAATTCTAGATGGGGTGAATATCTGTATAAGCTTGAGTGTTTCATCGGTTCAGGAGTCTTGCCCATCAAGAAATTCCAAGAGATAACCTTAATGCAATAGAACATTGAGTCCCAATCCATATAGAACTAGGAATCCCTAAGCCTTCACTAAGACTGCTGGTCGAGATAAGGATTGAGTTCTTGATAAACAATGAGTCCTTGTAATCCTACAAGATCACCTCAGTGAGTTTAAGACACTAAACAATCTTACAAATAGGCCTTTTGAATTGGCGTCATTATGTGTTTTACTTGCTCTGTAAGTTACAATGAGATTAACACACTAATTATTTATGCAGATGCTGTTATCAAACAAGCAAACTGGGACACATCTAAAGGAAGGGATAAACTTAGACGTGATATAGAAGCCCATGTTGCTTCAGTTCATGCTGACAAGATGAAGCACCATTGTGAGGTATAATAGCATATTTTTGTACATTCTCTCTTCTGAAATAGTTGGGGTTACTGGTTTTCATCAACCCGAGCCAGAATTCGGCTCCAAAAGAAAGTAAAAGTTGAGGACATTGATTGCTTTCTTTGTAACAGATTCCATGTAGTGTCTATTGTTGACAAAGTTGTCATAGGAACTTGGTTGATGATGATGTAACTATAAAATGCAGGCAAAGTTGAGGGAGCTGTTATCAGGACCGGTGGAAGTCCTTTTGAAGCAAGCTAATAATATGACCTGGCCCACAATAAGAAGCCGTCTTCGAGAGGCTGAATCAGATTTCTCTGGGAGAGCTGTTGCAATTTCTGGTTTTGACATGGATGAACAAACCAAAGCCAAAATAAATGCAAGTCTAGAGAAATATGTAAGACGTATGGTTGAAGATAAAGCAAAGGAAGAGGCTGGAAGGGTCCTCATCCACATGAAGGAGAGGTAGGGAATTCTCTCTCACACAATGGTTGACGTTATTTAAGATTTTATTGTAGAGATTTTCTATTTAAACCCCGCACTTCTCTTTGTTCACCCCAATACTTAAATCATTAAGCTGTAAGTTTTATTATTATGTAAAAAGACAAAAAAGGTCATCGAACTTAATAATTAACCCTAGTACACACACCCCACACACTCCACCACTCTTCATATTAAGTTTTAGAAACATTCTTCCAACTTCCTGTTTACAAACTCTCTCTCTCTCTCTCTCTCTCTCTCTCTCTCTCAAGTTCTCAACTCAACAATACCCAAGTGTTAGAATTCCAGTTACAATCCTTGAAGAGAGGTAAAGCTGTTCTCTTCCTCTAGATATTAAATTTCGGATTTAGGGTTTCATTTGTTTGTGTTTTTTTTGGTTGGGAACAAAGAAAATTGTGGGGTTTAAATAGAAAATCTCTTTTAATTCTTATTTTTTCAGTTTGGGGTGTATTTAATGGTAGCTTGGGAAGATAGTGAGGTTTTCTTGGAAATTTTGAAAATTTAAATTAAAAGTTGGGGTGAACTTAGAACATGAGGTGAACTAAAAGAAGTGTGAAGTTTAAATAGAAAATCTCTTTATTGTATGCAATTGATATTTGAATTGCCTTTACAGGTTTATAACAAAATTTAGCTACGATTCTAATTCAATCCCACGTGTTTGGAACCGGAGGGAAAATATTGGAGCGATCGCCAGAACTGCTCATTCTACAGTATGGCTCAATTTTTATCAATTTTTATCGACAGTTCTTGAGAGTTGAATTTGAACTAAAGCTTTGTTAACTATATATATTCATAATGTGTAATTTTTTCAGTCCCTAGAAGTGCTTTCTGTTATGGCTGTGATCCGTTTGGATGGGGATGATGATGGTGATAAAATTCAGGCTACTTTAAAAAGTGCCTTGCTGGATAGAGATATGAGTACCACAACAAATGACCTACTGGCTTCAAATACTTGGGAAGAGGTGACCCTTCTTTTGTGCGTTTTTTTTTGCTTAATTTAAAGATAGATCTCTCAACCCCAAAAAAAAAAAAAAAACATAGATACTGATATTTATTTATTAATATATATTCAATTTTATCCAATTTTTTTATTATTATTTTTTATACAAATGATATTCTACTTTAATCTAAATTACGGGGAGGCAGTTTCGGACTTGGGTGTAGAGTGGAGAACACATCCACTCTAGCCAAGTTGGCTAAGCCCATATCTTCATATCCAGTCTTAATTTATTAATATTCAAAGATTTTGCATACTAGATTAAGTAGAAAAATATTTGTAAATAATATTGAGAGGGCTGGAGCAGTCCGCGCCGCATTGAGCTAGAGTTTAAACACTTGATCTAATCCCTACCCCACGCAAGGCCAGCTCTCCCATGGCTATAGTATAGGCCAAAACGGACTTTGACCCATTGAATTTGGGCCGGCTCTCCAGCTCTCTCTCTCTCTCTCTCTCTCTCTCTCTCTCTCGTAAGACCATATATAGGTTTCCTGACTTTCTCCTTGCTCTATATAGGTTCCATCATCAAAAACATTGATCATACCTCTTAAATGTAAAGAGTTGTGGGAGGAATTCAAGGAAAACACCAAGGACATTGTTTTGAAGGCCATAGCTGAACAGGTATGATATCTCACCTATTAATAAATGGAAACTATTGTGAACTATAAATGGTTTTGTTTTGTCTTCCATAATGTGTTATTTGATCGCCTGCTGTTACGGAACTATGGTTAAAGTCTGTTTCAGGTTTTCTTTAGGTTTAGATAAACTTACTCATGAATGATGCGTTTCATCAGCTTAAAAATCTCTCTGAATTTGACTTACTGACACTCATGCCCAGTCCATTAATTCAACATGTTGTTTTCCTTTTCAGAAGGCCAACGCGCGTTTTCAACTACCTCCTTGGGCAATTGGCTGTTTGATTTTCGTGGGATACAATGCCATTACGAGACTAATGAGGTACACACTAGTTCCCCTACACTACACAGGAGGATATTGATGTTCTTTCTACCATATATATATATATATATAAAATTACCTCTACCATGTTCAAATTTATTCCTCCATGGATGCAGAAATCCTTTGTATCTGGGTGTGGGTGTCATCCTTGTTGCTTTTTTACTCGTCACGCCCCTATGGTGCTGGTTTGCCAGTCTCTGGTGAAATCCGCAAGGGTTCTGTGAGTGAGTGTCACATTTTGTTTTAATTATTGTTTGTCACTCTCCCTACTCCCTCCCCCCTTAGTACTATACGTATAGACACTGGTACTCCGTGTATAGCATGCTTTTTGCCTCCACGGCTAGTGATTTTAACATTCCTCGTTTCACCTCCCGCACTCCTCAGGTGAGTGTAGAAAGAAAAAAAATTTATTTAGTTTGGAGTGCAACTGGCTAAAACAGGAGTGCCAAAATTACTGGTTTGTGGGGATTCTGGAATAGGTCTAGTCACATACTGAGTCGTTAACTTGCTCCTTCATAATAGTTTTGTTATGATTTCAGGTGTGGGTATAAAGAGTGAAAAGACAACTTAGTGGGCTTGGTGTGGTACGCTCTTGGAGAAATGGTTGCAAGGCCCCGATCGACTTTATTTCAATCAACCAATAAAAACTAAAAACTAAAAACTATGTGATCTCAATTCCACTGGTTTTAAGTACTAGAGTGGAATTGTTGTACTGTTGTATTATTAATTATGAATTATGAATTTTTTTTTTGTACTGTAACAAGGGACAAGTATATGTATTGTATTGTAATTTTGAATTTTATTTTGTATTGTTATTTCTTGTTCTAAATTGAAAACTACAACTATATAGCTATCTGTTTTTTGGTGAGATGGGGGGAAGAGCCCCAAAACAACTACACAGCAGTAAAGAAGCGAGTCCTATGAATTCCCATCAGATCCCCAAAACAACTAACTTTCTTCAGTCTAAGGAGAGTAAAAGTTGTGTTGTGTCAGTCTAATTATCCCAAATTGCTGGTGGGGCTAGCATATCCTTGTGAGTGGTTCTGCCCGTGATTATAGCATTCCCAGCACCAACGCAAGGCAGCCCTAATTTAACCCTTAGCCCACGCCACCACCAACGCAAGTGAAAATCACCAGATCACAAAAAGAAAAGTACCACCTTTTCAATACTGTACTAGGGTGAGGCTTAGGTCACTACAACACAAAAACCATTAAAGGACACGAAGTCCTAATTAAGTTGGACTATCTTATCTTCTTGTCGCCATTATCGGCCACAAAGTAGTGGCATGCATACTTACTTACCTTTTAATCTTCATTTCTGACTTGGTTTAGGATTGACAAAAGCATCACTCTGGTGAATAAGATGAAGCTAAGTTTTTGAAATTCTGCTACTGTTTTGAAGCTTAATCATACAAATGGGCACTGATTTTCCTGCTTCCCTTTTATTCACTTACATTTTTTATTTTAAAAAAATATTTTTAATACAATTTTGTTGTCTTTTATTCTCTCTCTTTCCTATTCTATCCTTACCCAAAAATAATTTCTTTTTACTTTATTTCTTTTTCTTTATACTTAATTTTCCCATCAGCATTCCATTTTCAATAGTGTTAATTATTTCTTACTCGATGAAAGGAAAAACAAAATATCAATGGTGATCAAAATTCTCGGGTGGTTTCAATCGATATGCTATATCAATTAATCTTAATGGATTTTTTTTTTTCTGTTTTGTAGTTTAATTCTTGAGTGGTATGAATCAGGCAATGCCCAGAATTTAAATTCAACTATTTTATTATTATTAGTATTTTGAAAACTTATGGGTCGTTTGGATTAGATTAAGGGTTGATGTAGGCCTTAGTTGAAGTTTGAGCAGTTTAAATTGATATGATTAGGATTAAGTTCCTTAATTATTTGTTAATATGTTCTAGGTTTGTTTTCTTTGGCTTTATATTCTTAACTATGATGATGAGAGTTTAACAAATTTAGGGAGCATATATAGCTAGTTCTTTATGATTGTAGAACCCTTATTCAGACCAATAAAATAGTTGTCAGTAATTTGTTCCTAATTATATCTATATATCTATATATATAAAGTAAAAGGCAGAGAATAGTGAAATATTCAAAATACCAGAAAATGCCCTTAGTTAATCCAAACATTAATAATTAAAATATTTAATTAAATGAAGATAATATGGTAAATTCACACTATTTCATATTAGAAAAATCAAAATTAAAAGAAAAATCAAATAATGAATCCTATTTTTATGGAACACAACTACCCATTATCTTTTTTAATTCTAAAATAAATTTAAAACTTTCTATAAAAAAATGCCTCTCGTAGATGCGGAAGCGCGTGCGAAGAGGCTAGTATATAGATTATAAATACTTACCGTTTTTATAGTTTTTCTATAAATAAAAGTACACAAATCATATACAAAAAAATACATTTAACATAAAACAAATAAATATTAAATGCAACTAAAAATACATATTATCAAAATGAATATATGTTCAACAACATAATTGAAAGTGTACCTATTCAAGTTGTGCCATGCAATCGTTGAGAGAATTGAAATATTTTGTTATTGCATTTAAATCGATATTGTCGTACACATTTTTTTCAATATAAACAATCATAGAAGAATATTTTCCTAGTGTGAATAGTGGGCCAAGAACAGCAGGTAGGAGAAAAGTTGTACTGTGCGTCAGTGCAAGGGATTATCCCAAATTGTGACTGGTTCTGCCCGTGATTATAGCATTCCCAGTACCAACGCACGGCAACCCTAATTTAACCCTTAGCCCACGCCACCATCAACGCAAGTGAAATGGTATAGGTATAGCATTATCAGCCAAGCCTTGGTGTCTTGGAAGGGTCTAAGATTTGAAATGGTATCTTCTAACATCAGTCCCCAATTGCATATAAATATTATGCAGCATTATTTGAATATTGATTCTTTTCCTATCCAATAATGCCGAATTTTGAATTTTGAATTTTTTGGGCTGGAATCACTTACCAGACAACATGCACTGAAAAATCTTTACTTTATTAGAAACGAAAAGGCAGAAATACATATTATGTCCAACACAAAATGATCCTAGGGAAAAAACCAAAGACAAAACAGCAGAAATACATATTAAGTCAACACTCTCTCTCTCTCTCTCTCTCTCTCTTAAAAAGTACACAACGAAACGAACTCACACATGGGCATGGATAACATAGCTTCATGGCTGTGTCTTCCTTTTTCTCAGAAAGGTGGTGGGTGGTGCAGATTTCGATAAAAGAATAAGTCTTTAGGTTTCTTTTCTATTTCGTTTGAAAAAAACCATCAAGTCCGTATAAAAATAAATTTAGGGTTTCATAAATAGGAGAAAACATAGATAGATAGAGTATAGAGATACCGTAAGCAATAATTTGTTGAGGTATTCAACACTGAAAAAGTGTATATAATATTAAAATAACCGAGCCACTAGCAAACATATCTAACAACTGTGTCAAGTCAAACCGAAGTTCAAAAATTTATTGATTCCAAAACCAGGTACAAAAAAACTATGGACCAGTAATCCACCAAATAAAATACATCTAAAGACAGCCTAAATAGAAACTTGACAAGCAGAAACATCTCCGAATCCAATGTTATTGACTAAAATCTGATCTTCTCCCAAGGCTCCTCCATACGAACCCTGGAATAGTCCTCAGAAATACCCCTTTTTTCCCACTAAGTTTGACTAAGCCACCACATTCCCACAAGGTTTTTAACTTTATAACTATCCCTATTATGACTTTTTCTTTCTATTGAATTTATTCCAAGTATGTATTTGTTACTCCCTTGTGAGATTCTTCTTGCTCATTGTGTAATTGTCTATCTCTTTGTTGTAATTGTTAACATGTGTTGGTGTATTTTTAATTTTATTTTATGAATTTCCATATATGTGATTCTCTATGGTTTGATTAGTAGAATTAATAGACTGCTCAATTTGTTTCGGTTTATAATGAATAGACAATTTTTTATTTATTTTATGTTTTGGTATGTCTTGTAAGTTTGAATTTTTATTGTTTATATTTTACAAAAGGCCCCCATGTTAGACGTGTAGATGTCTAACCCATTAAAGTGTGGTATTATAATAATTAAAGGATTCTAAGACTTGATACCAATTAGGAGTTCAAGTGCAACTAAACCTGCAGCTCTATTTAAGTTAGTGTTTTAAGGCTAATATGAGAGCTAAAAGGATTTCTATTTAATTGTGGATTAGAAGTTTTAAGAGTTTCTTGATGGGCAAAACTCTTAGGTAGATGCATATAAATACAAGTGTCCCTGCTCAACCGATTAGGCCAACCCACACAAAAGAAATTCACCCCATCTAGAATGAGTGTTTGAAGAGATCGGATTGAGGAGATATTCTTGATATGTGTTCTATCAATGTGCAGTCATTATAGTTTAAATGTAGTATCAGAGCCTAGGCTGCATATCTTAAAACTAAAAAATTTCTCCCATCTTTTTCTGCCAAATGCGTTGGATATTTTGATTAGTTTATGGAAGTAATCGACAGTGAATGGTGTACAACTTCCTGCTCCAGAAACTCGTCTTAGATTATAAGGACCCGTCTCCACCACCTCCCTCTAAAACCCTAGCTTCCAATTCTCAAAACTTTCCCAAAATCACTAGGCTGCTACCGATAATGGTAATTCAAATGACAGCAGCAAGACGCTTCCTCTTAGACCTGATATCCAAAAGCCGTGGCTGTCGGAGAATGGATTTACAACACCCATAGTGGCACAGAGATGGCTCCGTTGGGGAGGAGGAGACGACAAACAGGCATGTTGAGCTGAAACCAGTGATTCAGTTATCAGATTTCATGGGAGGTATTGAGTTTGATCCAGAAATTCAAGTCTGAATAATAGGCAACACTAGCATGAAGCTTAACACCTTCAGACCCTTTAAAAGGTAAAGTGGCCTATATTGTTTATTTTGGTTCAGCTCTAAAGATGATTAGATCCTAAAATTTTTGGCCAAATATCCCTAGAAATTAGGAAACGAAACATAAGGGGACAAAATTAGCATAAAGGCTGCTTGTACCTTGCTTTGGGAGAGTCAATCAATCATGGATATAGTTGGCATGCATAATTTCATATATGGCATATAAGATCTTATTAAAAGAATTGACACATTGGATGCATGCTTATTTCCTTATGAATTAATATAAGTAATTTTATTCCAGCACTAAGCTAAATGCATTTGATATCATTCAAGTTGACATGTTTTCACTAAAGCTGATGTAGAAAAACATGGAATCATAATCAAGAGTACTTGTGCTTGGCTTGCAATCTGGCTAGAGAGAGATAGAATAATTGCATATTTTACAAAGGCCTTTTAGTCTAATAAACGCTGCTTATTTTGGGTAGTTTTAATCATGCTGATTTCTAGGTTTTCAAGTAAGCATGACAGTACATATAAGCATAAAGGTTTAAAGTAATAAATTAGAAAGCTAAAACCTAAAACTGAAAGCTACATAAGCATGTATTGTTTTCTAATATTTTGTTTCACTAACGCATTCTGTTAAGCATGTTTTCGATATAAAGTCTTTATCATTCATGCTTGAAAGGCTATTGATCAAAGACTAGAGATCTCGAATATTGCATTAGTTAAGCGAGCCACAGCAGCTTAACTATTGCAGATTCAGTTTCCAATCTAAAAATTGATCAATAATTGCATCACAGCTAGTAGCCTTTTGTGCTATTTTCATCTACAGATGAAAAGAATACAAATTGATGACAGATGTGATGGAACAACATGGAGAAAGGGTTTGTGT